TTCCATTTAATAAAACTATTATTAACTAAAATCACATTTGACAATTATAGATAATCATTCATCCTAGAGTTGGGACCTCAACTTTGAGAGCCCATTTTATGGTTAATCCTTTTGAGTGATTTGCATCTGATTTCTCCTTAAAATATCACCCTTAAGTCAAACATTGAGGTCATGAGAAAAAAGGAAATGATTGCTAACTGAAGACACTCTTGATTGTAAAATAAATTCTCCTTGTAAGCACCTTGGGAAATGTATAGAGAACAGTATGGAGAATATGCATACTGATGTTAGGGTGTAAAACATTAAAGGAAGTGCTACAGGAGTCCAGAGTAAATCTACTTGGCAAGATATATTCATGACTTACCCTAGTTTTTTGTTAATTCTTCTCTTTTCCTTCATTTCTTCCAGTTTCCTTTTAAACTAAAGAAGATCCATAATTTTAGTTTTCATTTGTAACTTATGTAAGTCTTATCAAATAAGCATTTATGTCTTTCTCTTCCAGAAGTTATCAACAGGTAATTTCCTATCACAATTCCAATAAGTTATTTTGTAAATAGGTTAAGAGAACTGATAAGCTTATCGGCTTGAGGGGTGCTATTGTGATACAACACCAAATTCTCCAGTCTAATTTACATGAAAATGTATGACAGTCAGTAGGGAGAATTATCAGATGGATCTTGGGAGTTAAATGTTAAATACTATTCTGGGTTTCTAACAGCTAGTCAATTGCCTATGTGCAAAATCAACTACATTGGTTTTTTTTACTATCAATTTCTCCAATAATTAAAATAAGTGGTATTGGTTTGAGAAAAAAAATTCAAGTAGTTCTGAAGAATTTCATGTTTTTTCGTTTTTTCAAGAAGTAACATGATCAAAAAAGCCTGAGGCCCTTTGTCATCACTGAAGACAGATTAAAGTTTCTACTTGTCTTTCATTCAATTTGTAAATTAACTATTTTTTTATAAATTAACTGATTGTTAACATTCAGTTAGTCAATAATGTTTCATAAATAACATGTTAAAAAATTATGTATAATTATGTTATGCTACGAAAAAATTCATGTGGAGCACACCTTTTCAGTTTCTTTCTGGTCAGCCATGTTGATTGCTGGCACATGAACATCCTCTTTCTTAGAAGTTGCATTTTCTGTCCAGAAAAATTATCGCAATAAGACAACTGTCACTCTTTTACCACTAAAATAAATGCTTGGGCTGAGGTAAAAGTTTTATGTCATTGCACAATAGTTCAAGACCTTCTATGCTTCCTGTTTTTGGCAATGCATTTCTTTATGCTTTAGTCATGTTACATGTGTTGTGTTACATACATTAATAGGTAACACAGCAATGTACATAGCACTGTGACATTGATGCATTCCAAGGGAGACGCGTTTGAGAGAGTTCAAATGTGCATTAAAAAATAGTCTTTTGGTGAAGAGCAGTGTAGTTTGCAAACCAACAAGTGTTTAATGGTTACTGTTCCACGCCATCCTTACCCTCTTGTGTTCCAGATGAGTCAGTACCTTCAAGAGGCTTTAGTCCAAGTTTGATTCTCAGTTTACTAAAGGTAAAGCAATAGTAAATAGTATAAATATTACGGAATTAAAATATAACGGATAAAAACAATGTTTATTGTAAAAAGGTTTGGATAAATTTCTTTTTACAAGCAAGCAAGTTTTTATGTGGAAAAATGACTATAAGTAAACATGAAACTATAACTACAATGCACATACTTAGTCTCCTCAATGCTTAAAGAAATGTCTCCTCCCTCTTGCTTGGGCTGTGCGTCGCTGCCTGTGAGAGAATGTCAAGGCTTCAGTTCATTAGCAAGGGCAAACAACATATTCAGATTTATTTGGCATTCTAAACTTTTCTCTCTATTTTCAAAACAGTGTCATACATATCCATCTTCATCAAACACATGCAAAAGTCATCGATGCCACTCACTTCGATCCTCGCGAGTCGATTCTTCTATGGCGTACTCATAGAGGTCATCATACTCTTCTCTCTTAGACTTTTTCTTCTCAATTCTTTCTGTTTCTTCATCCGATCCATGAGCTCGCTTCTCTCGATGCCGTTCATCATGCCTTCTTTTATCTCTGTCCCCGTCCTTCTCGCGCTCCTTGTCTCTATCGCGGTGTTTTCGGTCTTTCTCTCTTCTTCTTTCGCGATCTCTGTCCTTATCCTTTTCCTTATGCTTTTTAGACGAACCCATTATGTCATAAGCAGACGTAAATGAAGTTATATGACTTTGGTTAATTTGTGATACGCTTTTCCTACGATCACAACTTGGCAGCCATGATGGACTTTGGTAACCAGGCCTTAGAGTTAAGCAGCCTGGCCTTCAGTTGTGTTTCCCAGGACTGGATGGCCGACCCATACAGAAAGGCTTCCGTTGCGTTTGTGACAATATTTTTCAATTTTTAAAAACTGAAGAGGGAAGATAAAAAAAGGGGTTTGCGCTTTTCCAAACTATTATGCCATTTATGGTGTATGTTTCAGATTATAGGTAGACCCTTGCCATTTTTTTAAACACAGTTCGTTGCCCGAGCAAATAGAGATCCGCTAAAAAAAATAACTACAGGCGTCGCAAATTGCACTGAGAAAGAGGTCCGAGTAGCTCCGAGGGATCGTGAGCGCTGTGAACGGTGTACGAAGATTTCTAACCCCCAGACCCTCACGCAGCTCGTTCCAGACCTCAAACGATAACTGTTTTTAACATGGCCGCCAGCAAACAAAGTGCTCAATACGAGCCTAGGTAAGATAATCTTTTATTCTAATTAATCGATATCCTTATTCGATTTGAGAGCTCCTTGAGATCAATGGCCTGATAACAAAGGGTGAAAAAAATTCAGCTGAAGTGATATTTAAAGTTTGGTTGCATCTTCACGTTAAAGCTTGAAATTTTCAAGAAAAAGCAGAGCACAGATCTTTGCAGATTTACTGGCCAACACGTCATTACAGACATAATCGGTTTCTACATAATCTGTATTCCATTTGTGTCCTTATCTTACAGTGTCAGTATTGTTGCTCTCAATTCCGGAGACCTAATAACGAGTGCGTGGGTTTCGCCGAAAGTGTCTTCTCCTTTTTCAAGTTCATTCATATAAAAATTCCATGTACGAAAAAAGAGATAAGAGTCCAAACTCCGTAGAAAACATGCATTGAACTTGTTAAATGAGCCACAAAATTAGGCTAAAACAAAACCTCCGAAAATTCTTTAAATTCCAAACAAAGGAGTAACAAATTTACGTGAACGAAAGCTCAAAAACAACAAACTAAAACTCCGCGAAAACATACTAAAGTAAGCGAAAAATGTCCACGTTAGTTTTCCAATGTCAAGGTTAGAGTCATTTTACGTGATTGGCTAATTTGTGAAATCACGCGCGCCGCAAGTGAATACAAAAATAATACGAAGGGGGGAGTGGAAGAGAAAAATTACTACTTGAAATTTAAAAGCGAAAGAGATTTTCTGCCAGTCAGTTTTTTTTAGCTCCTTCCTTTCTCCATCCAATCAATCTCAGTTAACGAAACTGATCTCTAGTTATGTACTGCTGCAATTATGTTTTTAAAGTTCAAGTTCAAGTTCAAGTCTTTTTATGGAATTTTTTGCGCGTTTTTTTGTTGCCGCAAAGTGTTTCATGTATGAGAAAAGTTGTAGTAGTGTAGTTGATACTGTCCTGAATCAATTTCAGTATTTGAGCAACTGCTTACCTACCCTTCCCCAACCCAACATTGACCCTAGCTTGTTATCAGTTGACTGTTGTTGGGTTAGGGGAGGGGTAGGTGCGCAGTTGCTCAAATACTGACACTGATACGTCCTCGGAAACGATACCTTTTAGATCACTTCATGACTGCTGTTTCAATAGTCCATTTTACAGACGCGTGCTTGGTTGCCAAGCCTTTGAACAGGAGTGAGGCTAAAGGTGACCTTGTTATGATACAAACCGTACTACTTTTCAAATGTAAATTAGTTTGTTATCATGCTGGCTAGATATTGGTCTCTATCATTAAAAGGTCACCTTCAGCCTCACTTCAAATAAAAGGCTTGGCAACTAAGTACACAACTCCAAAATGGCCTATTCATGGTTTTCTTCTCGCGCCAGGCTCTACTTCTAGATCTTAAGTTTGGGATGCCGTGTCGTGAGCTTTTTGATTGAACGACATAAAGGAAAAGATCCTTTACAAATTGAATTTACTGTTGTCTGAAAAATGTTCTGCGAGAAGATATGTTTTACGCGTCGAACGGCGCCAGACTCCATTTCCACTGTGATAAGAGAGGGAGCGTTAAATTGTACAGAGAAACTAGAAATTTGCCTTTTTACATTTTAGCAGGTTATAATCTCTTGATTTTGGTTTGTAAGACCTCTTCGCGCACGCGGTTTTCCAATGAAGAAAGGGAAAGAATCTTAAGCAATTTTAGAACACTAGCCAACCTGAATGATGTTTACCCCGATACAGCAGACAGCAGACATGTTTATTTTGAAGATCGAAAACTTCTGTCAAATAAGAAAGCTATGATTGTGAAACTGAGCAGAAATGTAAACGTTGCATTAAAATGATTGCATTATTGAAATTATTTCCTTTTGTCTTTCCCTAAATCAAACTTTCAATTGAGCAATCAAAAGTTTGCGATTTCTTTTTCCCATAAATTGTTTTCAGGTACTGTTTGTTTTTTTCCGCATAATGAATTTAAGGGAGGTCTATAAACAAAATTTTCGCGTGATGTGAAAATTGATCCGGGCATAAAGGCCAAAAAGATTGGAGAAGAAAGAAAGAGAACGGATAATGTAGAAAAAGATTTGACCGTATGAAAGAAGAAAACATAAGCTGAATGTAGAAGCTGTTGGCAGTTTTTTCACACCTTCACATCTTAACTGGCGTGCGCAAATTAATCATCACCTACACTTTTAATAATCAAGTGAATGGTTTGTTGAATTGGATTGCTTTAGGCATGTTTTTGTTGACATTTTAGGACAGTTAATTAACTTGGCCGTCAGAGGAGAGATTAGATAGCTTAACTTACGCATTTCTTATCTAAATTCTTCGCTAAGCATTGAGCAACTACTGCATGCGAGGTCAATACGTGTTTAAACATTGAAGTAACTTGGACATTTCAGGTTTCCCGTTGTTTTTAATCTCATATACGTTGTGCGGATTTCAAGGCTCGGATACCACGTCGCCTGAACGCAAGTTTTGGTACTCAAATGATCATTTTTTGAGAGGGATTTATTTTGGAAATGCTGCCAAACCAAACAGAGAAGAAAGAGCAGTTGTCAGTTCTAAAGAGCGGACGCAATTGAGCAAGTCTTGGAGCGTAAGAAGATAAAAAGACTACTCACTTTAGGACTCTTCTAAACGGCAGTCTTAAAGCGATCTTCACTGCCTGTTAAGGACAAGTTGAGTAAACATGACATTGAGCCCAAGTCCTACTAGTTTCATTCCTGACACCACAAGGCGAGAGGCATTAAGAAAGGAAACAAGCAATGTGCAGATTCGAACGTCACTGTCACAGTCGATGGGAGAGTATATCTCGATGACAAAAACTCATCCCGTCAATGCTCTATATTTCGACGGGAAAACGATATCAAAAAGTTCTACAATAATTCCTTCTTCATCTATTTATCATGAGTCAAAGATTCAGGACTCTGCAAAGCAACATCGTGCAGGTAAGAATTTGTCATTGTATTGTGTGTGTAGTCCGTGTGTCGAACAATCTTTACAGTACAGTTATTAAAGATTTGTTTACTCTGGGAAATAGGATTCTGTACGTCAATCATCTTGTTGAAAGACCTCATTTACGGAAAGTTAAATCAGCAACGATTTTCATAGAAAAAGGGTTCCGGAATTATCTTCTTTCCGGGAATTTCTTTCAGATTTCTTCATTCGACCTCATAAGTCCATTAGCTGAAGAATTCACATTCGACAAATTGATGAAACTTCGACGCGAAAACTCCACTGTTTTGAAGTGGACAAATATCAATTGGCCGGAAGTAGAGTGGAATTTGTAACCTCGAGAAAAATGAAATTTTTGGAAATTCGATTAGACAGATTTAGTTTTGAAATGGCGAAAAATTACTTTTCTGTCAAACGTAACCATCTGTTTTTGAGATTATCCGATGATTAAGACAAATTTAAGTCCTGATAGGGTGACGTTATGTCAATGCTTTTAACAGATGACTGTTCTTGTTAGTATTATTTTATTTTTCATCATTTTGTGGCAGAACTCTGTGAAAGAGATAATGTGAGCGTTTTCTATTTTATTTTACCCCCTTACGCCCTAACATCAATATCTATATTCTCCATACCCCTCTCTGTATATTTCCTTTGATACTGACAAGGAGAATTGATTAAAAAATCAAAGTTTGTTAGGGTTACGATCATTTTCCTGTATTCTTCTATCTTCCTCAGGTGTGCCTGATGAAATAATAGCCGGAAGCGTGGCAGGTGGATTGACAGTTCTGATTTTAATTGGTATACTTTTGTTGGCGGTAATTTTAAAACGGTGAGCAATAATTATTTTATTATTGTTTTACGCCAGGTTATTCTCCTTCCTCTTTATCACGGGGTCAGCGAGTTCCCCCTGTTTCAGTCCCTCCTCTGACTGGGCTGGGGCTGTAGGAACCCCTGATTCCGAGGATTCTACTTCACCATTTTTTTTGTAGAAAAAATGTTCACTATTGCAGCAACTGCTTTCATCGTATTACTGTTTGATATTGAGACTTTCCACCGCATATTCAGTGACTGAGGGATTACCCAGGGAGTAGATTCTCCGGAGATCTTTTCGCAAGGAAGATCAAAAAAGACCTTACGCCGATCCAAGGGTGATATAGGCGCGACGATGAATATCTTCATCTCAGTTACCCCGGATACCCGTTGTTCTTTGACATGCTTCCACGGTCATCTACTTCAGGTTGTCGTAATTCCGCCTCCTCACCCTTTTACTAAACTACGAGGATTCTCACGTTTTCGGAAAAGTCTGTGGCGCGCTTTTAAAATTAAAAGAAGAAAAAAAAACCGAAAAAAAATTGATGTCAGCTTGACGCGCGAGACCATAGGGGTGACGCCTAGTCTTGTACCCATACCTTCCACGGCCAGGCGGAAAGTTCTGGGTTCGAGATCAAGTGACGCTTGTTTTGAATGCGCCTCACCTCACTCCCATAGTTCCGCGCAGCTCACTAACGTCTTGTTTTGGCTAATTTTATTTTACTTACGCGATGGACTTTGCTGCAAAGGAGGGACTGCTCGTAGTCTACCCCCTTTCCCGAAATAATTCATTTTCCAAACTGATCATCTATTGTTGATTTCTGCTTTCAGTCGAAAAAAATGCGGATCAATCGTTGCCCAAAGTAACACAGAAGCCTCCTTCGACAATCTTGGATTCAATAGCGGCCGAAAAATTTCCGAGTACATGGATCTGAGCGAACTGGAATTGGTCAGAGTCAAAGTCACCAACACTGTGAAGAGAAAGATGTCCGCTTTCACCAAGGAAAATCAGAAAACTAATAGGGTGTCCTGTGGCCGGTTGGACCTGGTTGAGGTCCCTGTGAACTCGCACATTGATGACGATATACTTTTGACGGCTTGGGTGTGACAAAGCATATAGGTTGTAGGAATATAAATTTTCAATATAAGGAGTCTTGCGCACAAAATTGCTTCGCTAGCTTTCCGAGAGCTAAGGTACATAATAATCGTAACGGTTTCTGTTTTCCAGGTTCTGTAATTTAGAGCTAAAATAAAAGGTGGACAGCCTGTGTGTCATTTGCGCGCTTCTAAGCTTATCCATTTTAGTCCGCGCAACAGGCCTCTCTTTTCTTTTTGCGTTGAGTCGCGTGGACGCGGGCGCGAGGCAAGCACGAAGGCCGGTTTACGCGCGAGAGAAGGAGCGCAGTAAAAATTTTTTTCGCGCATGACTCACTCCTCGCACTCATATCGCGCTCGCCTGATAAAGCAAAGGAAGGCTTTGTTTTGCTTGCTACGAAAAATGTATATAGAAAAACTACGAAAATTTAGATCAGAGGTAAGAATTCATATAATTGCGGATGTAAAATATCAAGGAAAAAAGCTTTTCTTGGTTTTCCTTTGGAAACAAACAAATTGCCACAAAAAGTGAATATCACCTCTTATTTCATTTTATTTCATTTAATCAATGAAAATCTTGATATGAAAGCTTGTTTCAAAATAAATAGGTTATAGAGTTTAACACTAATCTCTTTTGCAAATCTTCTTTAGGTTTCTCAAACAATTAAGCAGTCTTCTTCTTTGTAAAACTAGCCAAAAATTTCTCTGCCTTTTAACAGTACAATCGTTAGAATTTATAACTCTCCATATGTGTACATTTTGTCTGACCGTAAGTTACATCTAAAACATTGACTGGCACTAAGCTTTATCCATAAGAAATTTCCTGTTTTCTAAAGTTGAATAAAATTTCACATTACAAACTTGAATGAATGGGATTGTTTGAGAACTAACTGGTGACTGGCCAGCTGTCACCTTGAAAATTGAGACCAGATCACTGAATGGTCCCAAAATCCCTAATGTTGAAAACTTAGTTTCTCTCCAACAGATTTAATATGCAAGAACTCTTCCACATTCTGGTTTAAGATACATTTACACATTTACCATATGTAGCACTAACAGCCTACAATCTTACAGACTTACAAGGAAGCACACTTTGCTTTAGAAATCCTCATCTACAGATCTAGCTTTCTTTGGTTTGGTAAGTTTCTGCAACATCTCATCTCCTACACTTGATGTAAACCTCTGCACTACACTATCAAGTCCACTGGACATGGCCAGATCATAAGCTGTCTGTCCGGCATCATTTGCAACATTAGTTCGGGCACCCAGTCCTAACAGAGTGTCAATACAGTTGAGTCCATTGGCACCTAGATGCACAGCTTCATGCAGGGCTGTGTTCCCCTTGGTAATGCTCTTGACATTAATTTTAGCACCAGCATTCACTAGTGGTGGAATACTTTCAGCATGTTTATTGATAGTTGCAAGGATTAATGCAGGAATGCCATCAGAGGATTCACATTCTGGATTTGCCCCCTCGTCAACAAGTCTTTGCACCTCCTCATCTCTCCCTTCCCCCCTTGCCCCAATCTCTTTCAGTAACAACTTGTCCTGCTCACTGAGTTTAATCGTAGTATTTTCTTTCCCCTTCCGTTTTTGCTTCTTTCCCTTAGTGGTAGTTCTCAAACCATTCTGAGTCTGTTTTCTGCTCCTTCTCAAATCCTCCTTACTCCCAGACTCTGACCCATACAGATTCAATGCTCTCAAGCTTGAAGACAGAGCTTTGGATTTCTCCTTCCACAACTCTTTACCATCTCTTCTGGCAAAGGTCACTGTTAAAGTGACCTCCTCTCCATTGAGATCTTCATGAATTGTTGCAGTAATAATCTTTCCCAACCGTGGTTCACCAATGGTGGCTCGGAAATCTGGATTATTCTGCACATGTGCGCGGATGTGTGAACACACATGGTCCATTTGTTGCCGCCAGAATCCTTTCCCAGGACTTACAGCAGCAAGAGCTGGTCGTCTGTCTCTTGAAGCATCAAGCCGACTTCGTTCCAGAGCTTCTGACTCCATTTGTGATTGAATACTAGTTGCTGATTTATAGAAGAGACCAACTGTGGAAGTTGCTGAAAAGAAAAGAAAAATTACTACTAGCTATACATGTTATAATTCATTTATAGAATGAGCTGAATTAAATGTACATACAGATTTTGATTGGTTCTTGCTTATGATCTACTGGAGGACAGATGCATTTATGATGTTACCATTAACAATTTTTTGCTTCTTCATTGTATAAGATACCATAGTTTATCTGTTATAAGGCGCACGGTTTTCTCAAGAAGATTCTGTCTTCAGTTGGAAAGTTAGTGCTGAAATTGGGGTGCGTCTTAGAGCCAAGTATTTTTGCATAACAAAGTCTTAAGATCACAATTTTAGCAGAACTTGCAGTTAAAAAGGCAAGAAAAGGACACTAATTGTTGAGAGAAAAAGGAAAAAAAAGCAGGGCTTTTTGGTCTGAGGTGTAGCAAAGATTGCATCAAATTCATTCCTTTATTCCTATGAATTAAAAAGGAATATTGCTTTTAGAACACTAATCAACTTCTATAGAAAAGCAAACAAATGAAAATTTGCACACGGGACAATTGTTCTCCGTTCCATCACATCCTTTTGTTAACTCTCAACCTTTTGGTACGTCTTATAACCGAGTATTTTCATGTAATTTTCAGTTTGGGAACTTGGCTTGACTAAATTGCTAAGTTTAGGGTGTGTCTTATAACCCGATTGCACCTCATAGTCACAGAAGAAGTCTAAATGTAACCAGAACATTAGTGATACACTTAAGGCTGCACCACTCAAGCTGCTTTTTTGTCCTCAAGTTAACTTTTGACATCATCTGTGATCTATTACTAAACAGATGCACAGCAACAAAGAATCTTTTTTTAACACTGATAACAATTTTTTAGTTATAGCCACCCTCTTATAATTTTTGTTGTCACCAACAGTATCATCTATTCTTTCACCCCATGAACCCCAAGAGTGACTAACATCTAATTTCTCTTCACAATATCACCCCTGAATCACACATTAAGGTCAGGAAAATAAAGGAAATTATCACTAATTTAGGAAGCTCTTGATTTTTAAACAAATTCTCCTTGTCAGCAACTAAGGAAATGTATAGAGAACAGTATGGAGAATATGCCTACTAATGTTAAGGTAGAAAGAGTTGAGCACCTTGTTTAGTAGACATGGTGGCCCAATGGTTTGTGCACTGGCTTCAACGTTAAGAGGTCATTTAACCCTTAAACTGCCAAGATCTGATTGTTAATACTCCCCTCAGCTGCTACATGTTTCCTTATAAATTAGTTGCAAGAATTTGGTGTTCGATCAAGATAACAACTTCTCCCTGATAAGTATGAGTATTCTCATAAACTGTTTGCTAAATAATGCATGGATATTGTAGAAGACGTTACATTTTAATCACTTTTGGGAGTTAAGGGGTTAACTTTCCTTGTCTCTCTTTACTCAGGAGTATAACTGGGTACCAGTGAACCTACAGAAATATTGGCAAGAGCATCTTATTTCAGAAGAAAAATTGTTCTTACCTTTATCTGCTTTTTCTGCTGGAGTTGAAGGGATAGAAACTGGCAACCAAGTTGCATTTTCTGACCTTCCTACTGTTTCACGAATGCTACGCTTTTCAACAACAGTGCCAATAACATTTCCTGGACTCTGACGCGAAACTCTTGGAGGTGGTTCAATACCACATCCACAGGTATTACAAAACCTTGCGAATGCACTATTTGAAGCCTGACATTGGGAACAGATTAGAGGACTTTGGTAAGGCTGTGGCTTTGATCCACACCAATCACAGAAACGAGCATCACTGCTATTCACACGAGAACACTTGGAGCAAGACATGAGGCTACTAACAGAGTCCTTTGGCATTGGAGGAGCACTTGTGCCTGTAAATATTTGTTTAGCATTGTATGGAAGTTTTGCTTCACAGGTGACACAAACTGTCATGTCCGGTGGATTTCCTGTACCACATACAGCACACATTAACTTGTGTGCCAATTTCTTGGTGGCCTGTGGTTGACGCTGTGGTGAAATAGGTGCTTCACAGATGATGCAATTGGGTGTGTTCAGTGGTACCATTGAGTTACAGGAGACACACATACCAAGCTGTCCACCCTCAGGAGGGGGAAGCCTTGAAGATGGTAATGGCGGAATGGGGGATCCACATTCAGAACAGAACCTTGCATATGGGTCTGATGGTCTGGGTGCCATACAGTAGATACATTTTAAAAAATCAGTCTGTTGTTGAATCTTACTTGCATGAATTCTGTTCTGTGGCCCTCGTCTCTCCTTTAATTCTCCATCAACTTCTGTAAGAGATTGATCTGGGGTACCTAATGTTGCTTGATTTGAACCAAACCTTGAAGCTGTGAATCTTGCTTCACTCCTGGGTTTTCTGTAATCTGACCCTCTGACATTTTCTAAGTCATCTGGAGTTGATGTAAGAAATCGCTTTGATTGACCCGCAGTCCCCCATGCTTCAGACGTCTTCAATTTGGATCCTCTTCCGGCGTTCTCAAGAATTTGACCGAACAAAGTTCCCGACGAATCCCTTAAATTTCCAGTTGACGAAGAAATGCTTTGCTGAAGCTCAGAGACATTGTCTTCACCATCTAAACCTTCTCTTTCTTCTGGTTCTTCAACCATAAATGTCTTGGTTACAATGGAACTTTCTCTCGTGCCATCACTCGAGGTTGCCAGCGCTTTTACGATCCGCTTTCCTGGACCCAAAACAAAAGGTCTGTTGTATTTATAGGTGCATTTGATGCCAATTTGTTTAAATGGCTCCGGTTTCATTCCGTTTATAGTGTAATATATCAGAGTATCTGGTGTCTCTGAACGAAGCTCGATGGGAGTATGAGTGTCTATAATGTTTTTTCTTCCTCCCATTGGAAGCCTTAACGGCATAATACTGGGAACTCTGATCATTCCTGCTGTCATTTTTCAAAAGTTTTTTGACGCCAGTCAACCTATTCTTCTATCGGTCTCCTTCTTGATTTGGTACCAGATAAGCCTACACGTCCCACTGAAACTTATTTGCGAAATCTGGACCAGATTTTTTTTCTTAAGAGATTTTAAAGCACCTACAATTCAAAGCGTCCAAATAGAACCGTTTGCCCTTTTAGCCGCCATTTTTCAAGCTATCCCACAATACTCATCGCGATGGGCAGACTAACAAAGTCTCGTTTCTATAGTAACAAGGATCAATGATCATGCGGCCATGTTGAAGCTGTAGGTTAAAACTTGTTTACAAAGTTTGTTCATCGAAGGATAAACAACCCCGATCTAAACTTGAAGTGGTGAGAAAAAGATTATCTGACAAGGGTTAAGTCTGAAGAAGCGTCGAGAGGGGATGAAAGGCTTGTAGCACTCAAAATTATGTTTTGATTAACAGCGACTCTAAAGCCACTTTTCTTCGTCAAAGTTGACAGAGCGAAATTCAGCGAAAATGTCTTCTTCTACCAGAAATAGTAACAGTCCAGCCACTGATAAGGCGTGGTTTCACGATACAAAGACTAGCTGCGAGAAACAAGCGCGTTATTTTGTACATATTCGCAAACTTCAAGATGAGTTGATCAACCGCGAACAACACAATTTGATCAACGCGATGGAACGTTTAAAACAACTTTCTTACCCTCGAAGACGACCAGTGATTCGAAACGTCGACATTGATGCATCATCAAACCCTGCCTTAAGTCGAAAATTTCCTGCTAGAAACTTAAAATTGAGGAAGGAAGGGAAACACAAAGCCATACAAGCAAAAGAACAGCCAGATCTCAACTCTGTTTCTGGGAAGCCCCTGATCAAGAGAACTGACAAGAAACCTGATAGCTCTGCGTATCATCATTTTTTCGTAATGCCACCACTCCTCAATGATAGAGACATAGCAAAGATTGTACACAATGCGAACAGTACTTTCACCTCTGAACCCTCAACTTACTTGCTCCAACCACATTTGCCGTCTATTCCCAATGTAGGCCGAAAAACAACTTTCATGGTTGATAATAGACTGAAACTCCTAACACTGGCTGAATCAGAGTTTTGTGAAGACGGAGAGGGTAGCGTCAGTGGTATGAGGAAACATTTGCATACAGGGAAATCACAACGCAGGAAGAAAAGTCCAAAATCTACACAACATTTTAGTGAAAATGTCTCAGTTGAAAATACAACGAGGAGAGGAAATGTTTTGTGTTTTGACGTTGACCCAAATGATCCGAGTTTATTTTCTCACTGTTTTGAAGATAAGAAAGAAGACGATGAGCCATTTAAAACAACACCGTTGCCTCCACCAAACTCCAGACCAAGTACATCAAAATCAAAACTATCAGTAAGTTATGTTGTGGAAAGTGTAGAAGGGAAGACAGTTAGCAAAGCTGACGCCTCAAAGACTGAGGTTGCTCTTCAGAAAGATTCAAAAAGTCAAGATACAGTGGAAGAGCTGGCAAATACAAACAATGAAGTTAAGGGCAAAATGCCTGATATGGTCATAGCTGACATGAACCCTAATGTTAATGAGGGTGATGTCAAGGTGTCAGATGTCAAGGACTTGAAATCAGATTTTGCTGGAAAAGATTTAGATGAAGTTAATGATGATGCAGAAACAGGGGATATTGTACAGCCTGTTGTAACAATCACCAATCAACCTGTACCAGTCAACAATAGTGAGAAAGATGATGGATCCTAATGGGACTGGATCATCTCATTTTTTTACAAGATATTTTGTTTGTAAATATTTTCTTGAAACAGTTGCATAGCAGAAGTCATTCATTGACCATGAAAATTCTCCTCATAATGTGAATACAGCATCCAATCAACGTATGATATTGTTTGTGTGGAACAGTGAGAGGGCATTCTCATGATAAATCATCTTTAACTCTTTACTCTCAGGAGTCACCAAAACTGAGTTTCTCCTAACGACCCCAATACAGTTGCAAGCGGAATGGTGTTGAAAAAATACTAAGAAACATGTCAGTTAGCATTTATTGTTTGATGTAGTCTTTAGCCATGATAAGAGAAATTTCCAATGCAAAGAAAGGCCTACTAGTGCCTAGGTGGTGCTTAGTTCTCCCTCATAGTCATGCAAAGACATGCAAACATACATACAAAAAAAGGAGTTGAAATAGTACAGTCATTAAAATTAACAATATTTACAATACTCTTCATTTACTTATTAGTGATATAGCTTCAAGTTATATAATTTTTTTTTATTGAACTACTATCCTCTCAACAAGGGGTTTGACAAATGCTAATTATTGAGAGATCTTGATTTGCTGACACAAAGGAGTCTGAAGTTCTCTTATGAGCATCCATGTCTTTAGCATTTTTAATGAAGTTCATGTGAGATATATCTTTTATCTAAATTATATTTATCTGGGAAGAGTATTTATTTAGGGAAAATAGGTCAGATTGAAAATATTTATCATTTGGTTGAATGGACATGTATTCAAATATGCTTGAATTTAATATATCTTCAATGGCTTATATGCCAGTAATGTTTGTATCTAGATATTAAACACTCATTAATCTTGGGGATGGTTGATCAAGGTTTTTAGAAAGAAATGTAGGGGCTTTTCTGATAGAGGATGTTGGTAAGAAAGAAGAGAAAACTCTCTATATCTGATGGAGTGAAAAAAGCTCAGGTTATCAAAATTAATTTATTACAGACTGAAATCAAAATGCATCTTCTCCATACTTCTCTCTATACTTTTCTTCATGTGGACATAAGGAGAATTTGTTTAACAATCAAGAACTTCTTTAGTTGGTGATCATTTCCTTTATTCTTGTGACCATGCAATGCTAAACAAGCACCCTCTTAAGACATTTACACTAATGAGAAATTGAAATAAAAGACTCTCAGTTTACAGTACTATTTGTAGTCAAAATGAAGTTTTGTTAAATTTCATTTTTCTCATTGTACCAAAAATACTGAGAATGTCCAGAGATTCTTATTTTGCCTTTTTTTTTTCAACAAAAAGTTCTTATTTAGTTTTTCATTTGATTTTGGCTTGTCCGAAAAATGCCAGATGCGTGTGTTACGAAAGAGAGAGAGAGAGAGAGAGAGAGAGAGAGAGAGAGAGAGAGAGCAACATGCCCCGTGCCCACCCCTAGCAATATCCATTTCCGCCACCACACCTCCGATCTGTCCCACAATGCTCCTGGACGCGCAGTGGGCAGGTCGCCATCTTGATTTTGCAGAGGCTTCCGCTATTCCTCCACGGAGTGAATTTTGCTACTTTCGTTAACTTCTCCACCAGAGCTCTTTTAGTTTTGGAGGAATTCAGTGAAGGAAAAGATGACGGGACGGCAACCGGCCTGTGTCATTGACAATGGAACGGGGTAGGTGTAGAAAGACGCATTTCAATCTGTAATCATCTTATGAAGCCGAACTATTTCCTGCTGTAAAACTCCCATTGTCGTTTTTTTTTCGTTATGAGGCGTGTTTTGTTCTTTCAATTTTACTTCGGGTTACCCTATCCCGTATCGATCGCTTAGTGTAAACTACATCAACTTTGTGAAATCTCTGTGCATCACTGTTTCTATTGATAAATTTCTTTCTTGGTTAAATTGATATATGGTTGAGACTTTGACAGTAATCGTGTAGTTGTAGCTCTGTAACTTTAGTTTCTTTATTTCCTAGTAGAATCCATCGCAAAAAGATAGTAACTCTTCTTCTTGCTTTTTATTAAGCATTGTCAACCAGGGAATAAGAGAGTTAAAGTAGTCGGCAAACACATGCACAAATAACCAAACACGAACCAGGCTTAGCTAAGAGACGAAAGAAGTTTTAAAGCTTCCAAAGATGTGCGATAAACGAATAACTGAATGGATAAATGATAAAGCCTTAGAGCAGATAATGAAAATTACCTTTGAAATTGTTTCTAGTCTGGTGGCTAATAGGCAGCTAGCCCTATTTGGTATGACACTCCTCCTTTTAATGCATATATAGTGCTCTTGTCTAAACTTTCATTCTTCTCTGGAAGATGCTGAACCAGATTTTCTGTAAACCATACTAAAAATAGTGTGGCATAGATAAAGATATTGTAAATCATAGCATTCTTTTGAGTCAGTCTTTTGAGGCTGGTGTGCTTAGGAAGCCAAGATGACTTAATTCTTTCTGTGTAGACCAGTTGGGTGGGACCTTGGTAGAAGATATTAAGGTTGTCATTGTAAAATAAAATAGATGAGAGAACAGAGAAGACGGATGAATTGAAGTATACTTGCATGGCAAGTGTAGGCTGTTGCAAAGCAACACAATCTTTGAAGGGGACCTGAATTGGATTTTTGAAGCTCTGTGAGACATGATTTCAAGCACTCTGGGATATATTAGAGTGACTTTTTTCAGCTAGACATTGATGGTGGAGTCAGTTCAAAAATAATTATTTTTTCTCGTTAATCCCAATTCACATAGTAGCCATTGCAAAATTATCTGACAGCAGGTGGGTTCCTGTCCCCTATCAGCTTCTGATGACAACCCTTAGTTGCCGTGGGTTGAGTTAATTCATGGCTTTAAGGCCATTTGGGTATGGATACAGGGGTCAGTTTCTAAAGAAACTGTGGTGCTGCATCAGTGGGAGAGTATAACAGGGTAACTTAGTATTATCAACTGAGTTGATAACATAATTTGGCCACCATAAAGAGTTTATAAGCAGACATTTTGAGTGTTAGCCCTTTGTCAGACAAAGGGCTGACGCTTGAAACTTTACCATTAAACTCTTTACAGTGGCCAATTTTACATTATCAACACAGTTGAAAATACCAAATTACTTTTGGGTATTGGCTGTAAATGGCATGGAAAACTTAAACTGTTGTAAGTAGCCTTCAAGAGCCTTGCAGTCAGAAAGACAAATGATAAAGTAGGAAGGCAGAGATCAGGGGGGATTTTCTCTGTTATTCCTTCTCTTTGTCTGCACTTTTCCTGATCATGATAACCTGACTGGCTGGAAGAAGCTTTTTGTAAGGTGCACTAGGAGCAACCAAACAATTTCGGGTTACCTTCCTCTTTACATTTTCAGGTATACAAAAATGGGTTTTGCTGGAAACACAGAGCCACAATATATTTTGCCAACAGGTAACTGTCAGAAGAGACTTCTTTGTATCTTAAAACTTATAAATCAGTGCATGATATAGTGTTTCTTTAAGTTATGATTGATAATTATTCAATGAAGGCAAAATGGACATTGTTGAATAATCTACAAGATGAAGCAAGGGGATTATTCCACAATATTCACTGGGTGAATAACTGTTTTAGTATAATTACTTGTAAACTTTTGAATTAACAATGGTTGTAAATTCTTTAATTGAAGAGAGCATTGTGCCTTTTTTGGTTGCAATTATGCAGGTTAATTGTATCAAGATTAGCTACCATTTTTAATAGGTGCATGAACTTCATTTAGCAAAACCTTCATATGTTTTTTGTAAAATGTGCTCTTCCAAACTCATTAGCAATTGCTCTTTGCAATTTAATATACTTCTATTGTGAGTATCGCTTCCGCGGAATTATTGAAAAAATGCAAGGCAGCCATTTTGAAATCTAGCACTCCTGCTAGAATCACCTTATGCAAGGTTATTATAGCAAGATATAATGTAGGCCTCGACCAATCAGAGTATGTGTATCTCTATTTACACCAGAAAATTTATACTAATCATAAATACATGTATGTAGAGAAAAATGTCAGCTTTTACCCTTGACTCCCAAGATCTCATGAGTAATTCTCCTTCCAGCTCCTTTTCATTTCCTTGTGAGGTAGGCAGGAGAATTTGGTGTTGCATCAAGATTGCATCCTCAGCTGATGCAATTTTTTTTTCTCATAACCTGTTTGTAAGATAACACTTTGGAATCACAAGGAGAAGTTACATGTGAATCAGCTGAGGGATTCTAAGGTTCTCTTGCTTAAAGCCTGAAACTAAAATTACAACTCATGGTCTTGCAAATTAATATTTAAAATTGATTTAAGTATTGTGTTGCCTTTATTTCCTCAGCTATTGCCATAAAGGAATCTGCTAAAGTTGGAGACCAGGCTCAGCGGAGAGCTGCCAAGGGTATTACCGATTTAGGTAAATAATGATTTGATATTAATCACTATTTAAGGCATTGTACATTATAGCAACACCTTGACTTTTTCAGAAACAATAGCAGTGATAAATTTTTCAGGAGGCAAAGAGCTAGAAGTTTTTATAAAATATATCTATTTAGGTTAGGTTAACACGCATGCAGTAGTACTAAGTTTGAAATGAGAATTTTGAATCTCTTCCTTTTGCTCCCAGATTTTTACATTGGTGATGAAGCAGTAGAGGCTCCAGGTTATGCGACAAAGGTTAGTATAAACCATTAAATCTATCACACAATTTTGGATGTGCACCTTTCCACAAGCTAGTGTGAGTGTTTTGGTCCATTCATCAATTTTAGTACATACACATCTTCTGTGTCATTACGAAACTTGATGTTTTTCTTTCTCTTTTTCTTCACTGAGCTCAAAACTACCCTATTTATTTACTGAGCTCAAAACTGACCACTTCTATTCACAAAACATGACACTACTGATATAGCTGATCCTAGTAGTATGCAGGACATGTGTCATATATAAATTTTGTAATGGGCCTTGCTCACCATAGAGTCTCTGTGGCTCAGTGGTAGAGCATTGGAGGTCTGAGATGAAAAAATGTCTTTCTCTATTTCGGTAGTGAGCTCAGAGCTTATCATCTTTCATATTTTATTTACATGTTGATAAGTGTAGGTATTACATAACTTTCCAAGTAAAATGTTCTGAAAGATGTAATTTCACCCTTTACATTGTAACATGGGTATGCAAATTCTCTTTACATTTCCTATGGTACAGAACAAGTATAATTTTTCAAACAATCAAGAACTTCTTGAGTTTGCTATCATTTCCTCTGTTCCTATAACCTTATTGTGTGATTCAGGGGTGACATTTTAAGGAAAAATTAAATGCCAGTCAGGGTTAAGAGGTCAAAGAAGTAAAGGCCATGTGCACAGATTTGGCAAATTTCCAAATGGTTGAAGTGATTTTCTCGAGAGCTTTGAGGAATTCTTGTGCTAAACAAATCTTTTCAGCAAAGGAATGGAATCAGAGCATATATGATCAGCTGTACAGTCACGCATTTAATTCTATACGCATTCACTTGGAGGACCAATGGATTGAAATTAACCTCATGTTTATTTTTGGTCTTCAGTGGCCTATTAGGCATGCTATTGTTGAAGACTGGGACTTAATGGTATGTAACTACAGTATTTCGGCTTTTAATGTAGTTTGTGTCCAATCATGCATTTCTAATTTACATGCTTTTGACAAATAACAGTACTAAAACATAGTATTTGTATCATGCTGACTTGTAAAGCTTTACAGAACTTATCCTATTTTCTGAAGAATTGCCCACCAAAAATTGAGTTGGTGAATGCTGCTTTTTCATCTGGTGAATTTTCCTGGCAGCTGGAGCCTACTGAAACAACCCTGAATGGTGCAAGGCACTGTAGGAATGAACTGTCTTGCCCAAAACCACAAGAGGAGCTTCTGATTTACTCTCATTTAGTGATGGAATGTCTTACATTGTATTTTCTGTTCAATCTCTGGTATTTAGGAAAGATTCTGGGAGCATTGTATATTCAAATATCTGCGAGCTGAACCAGAAGACCATTATTTCCTTCTTGTAAGTATTTTGCCTCCAATGAATGTCATGCTAAATGTTGTGGATGATGATGATGATGATGATGATGATGATGATGATGATGTTGATGATGATATTGTTGATGATGATATTAATAGCAAGAACAGCAAAAGTGAGTAGACAGTGATTCCTTTCATTGAGAGAGTTGTGGTCATTTTTGTTTCAGACCGAACCACCATTAAACACACCTGAAAACAGAGAGTACACTGCAGGTGAGATTCTAATGCCATTAAAATTTGAAACCATTTGTTAGTTTTGTTGTGAAAAGACCTCAGTTTTGCTGTCGTTGATATCTCCCTTCTGCCTGCTACACATTTTGCATGATATCATCATTTCAGTTTTGTAAAACAGTCAATGCTTCTTTAGTCAATATTTTTTGTTACTCTTGTCATCTTTCTGCTTATTGGTGTATTACTATTGTATTGAGAAAACACGTGTTGATCTTTCCTGGGAAAGTGTAAACAAAGAAATTTTAACTTCTCATTAGGAAATTTCAAGAAAGTTTGTTTTTGATGAAAAATTGTTGATTTTTTTTTTTTCTTTCAGAAATTATGTTTGAGTCATTTAACATTCCAGGCTTGTACATTGCTGTGCAGGTGAGGATTTGTTACTCCATCATCTTAAAAAAGTCAGGCTTTAATGTTATTCCCACTCCTGCCTCCCAGACTTTAGGATTACTGATCATTTCATCTGTGCCTTCTCCAGTGTCATCTATTGCATAACTTAAACTTATTACAAAAATTTATACAGGAAGACAACTAAGCATTCAATTCTGAGAACACCCTCATGAGATAGTACGGAATGATAAAGATGCATCCAAACCAGTCACTAGACATTTAAATCTCCCTGATTATTCTAAGCATTGTATGGCAGTCTGCGGCCTTTCCCTACATCCAGGCAGTTCAGAAAGCAACAAAACTTGTCAACAAAACTTTGTCTTGCAAATTGGCACTCTTAATCCCCATGGCATTCACAAACAGCTAATAAAATGTTAGTCACATTTGTGATTAAAACAAACGCATAATTTCCTTTCTGTTTTGATTCTGTATTTTGTTGTTGTTTGACAGGCTGTGTTGGCTCTTGCTGCATCATGGACTTCTCGTCAAGTTGGAGAAAGGACACTTACTGGTACAGTGATTGATTCAGGAGATGGTGTGACTCATGTTATTCCAGTGGTAAGAGGACTTGTGGTGTATGCGTTAGTCCTCACAAATTTGTGGGGAATATGTTGTAGTTTAAACCAATTTCATGCCAGAATGAACTTGCATTAGTTTGGAATCATTTTGATGTGAAGTCATTTTTTAACTACACCAAATACAAACACAATGTATCAATTATTTGAATACTGTAATCATGATAATGTTACCAGTACTTATCCTCTTGCAAGATTTCTTTGGGACCACACATGTAGATAAAAAATCACTGGGTAAAAAATCATTACCTCAGTAATTAAGATGCTTGACCTTATCCCTAAAATTAAAGGGTTAAAGTTGAAATTCTTTAACAGCTTTTGGAAATTACCTAAGTGTGTTAAATCCAGATCCAGTTTCCAGAATTTTACTTATTATGCTGTACACCAAATTCAGTTAGTACTTTGTCCAACACTTTGGTTGCATTGTGTGAACCTTTTCACTCCCAATATTTCAATAATAAATCTCCTTAGTGCTGGCTATGTAACTCTTATGATGTTAGTTCAGAGAATTTAGTATTGGATCAATTAATAATCCCTTCATTGATATTTTTCTCTATTCTCATCATTTGTCTGCTTGATATTGTATTTGTATTGTAAGGAGAAATTCTGTCTTGCTCACTCATGCAAGTTAAGTGGTTGACTTTGCAACGTTTATGTTGGTGTATACTAAGAATTTCTGAGAAGAGTTCTTGTAATTCTGAGGTCTTCTGTGTTTTGTTTTCTTTTTATTTTTTTGTGCCCAGGCTGAGGGTTATGTCATTGGCAGCTGCATAAAACACATCCCCATTGCTGGCCGCGATATTACCTTCTTTGTTCAGCAACTTCTTCGTGAACGTGAAGCAGGAATACCACCAGAGCAGTCTATGGAAACTGCTAAAACCATCAAGGTAATCAACTTTTTATTTCTGCAGTTGTTTGAGAGTATAGCACATTGACCCTACATGTATTTTGAGGAATTTTATATGAGGGTTGTTTAGTAAGGAGACTCTTGTGCTGAGACTGAGATTTGAACTCTAACATCAGCATGCACATTCTCCATACTGTTCTCCATACATTTCCATAAGTGCTGATAAGGAGAATTTGTCTATCAATCAAGAGTTTCTTTTGTTGGTGATCATTTCCTTTTTTCTTGTGATCTTAACATGTGATTTGGGGGTGATACTGTGAGGAGAAATTAGATGTTGGTCACTTTTAAGGGTTAAAGGGTTAAAAAAAAATGTTAAAAAAAGCAAAGGGCATAGAGAGTGATATTGGGTTGTTAAAAAGAATTTTTTGTTACGTGCCAAACTGAAAAAAATCATTATTAAATGAAATCACCATTTGACACAACTCTTACTCCGGTTTTTTTTTTCTTTTTCATTTTCAAGGAACGCTGGGGCTATATCTGCCCAGACATTGCAAAAGAATTTGCAAAGTATGAAGCTGAGCCAGCCAAGTGGATCAAGAAGTATGAGGGTGTGAATGCTATTACCAAGAAGGTAGCAAACTTTATATTTTACTATGTCGCTTTTATTGGTAACTGACTGAGGATTTAACCACAATCTTATTTGTAATGACACTTGTCTGAATGTGTTGGTATAAATGCAGCTGTTCCCTAACCCTCTACACCCTCACCGTAGAATGCAAAGAAATCTTATGTCCCAATATGTTGCATTTTAACTGTAGTGACATTCTTCTAACGTTGAACTTTTTTTCGTGATATCTGCACAGCCTTTTGCGGTAGATGTGGGATATGAACGATTTTTGGGCCCGGAAATTTTCTTCCACCCGGAGGTAAGGCTGGAGTTTACAGAATTCTTTTTATTGGATTTCTTGTTTAAAAAACTACCGGAAAAAATCCATTAGAAGACATTTTGAAAATGTTTCGTGTTAAATCTGTTGTTAAAATTTTGACATCAAAGCTTCAAATTTGAAACAAATTAGCAACGAGTTTCAGACATTGGTTTTTAGCAGTACACTATGTTCTTGCATAGCAAGTGCTCAAAAAATAAATTCGCCTTCCTTGATCGCCATCGTTTTAGGAAATAATTTGCTGTTTTGCTTTAGTTCTCTAACCCAGATTTCACCACCCCTCTGTCTGAGGTTGTGGACAACGTGATTCAGAACTGTCCAATTGATGTCCGTAGGCCTCTTTACAAGGTGAGTGGTGATACAGTTGCGAAGGAGACGACGTAGATGCTTTGTAGCTTGTTCTTATTGTTTACCTTTCCACTCCCATCACCATTTTACTAAAAAAATGTATCAATGCCGTTAGGGGAGATTCCTGTTGTGTTACTCGTGCGGTTGGAAGGGTAAATGCGAATGCACTTTCTGTTGGTTCAAATACGCCTTGATCAAATTTTAACCGGAATTCTACCCTACTGACGTAAGTCGATTGAAAATAGCTTGTACCTCATGTTGTGCTTTGCTTCTGCGAAAAGAATGGAACATGTGTAATCTAGCGTCAATAACGCAAGCTTAGCTTTGAGACGCGCGTTTCCAGTCCCTTGAGAGAGGGTGAATTTCTGATCTGCGTTTGTTACCATCAGCTAAAACAGCCTCATAACTGCGAAAGTAATGGCATTTAACTAGGCTAGTTTCGAAAATTTTTTAGTTTTTAGTGCTACATTTGCAAACAGCCCAAGTGTCATGAGATTAACGAAATCGCTTTGTTAGAATTGAGATGAAGGAAATCACTTTGAATGATGATGCTTGCTTGGAGAATTTTCAGGTGTAGACTCGCTTAGAGAAGTCAAACCTATAAACTTCAGGTTGATGTTCACCACTTTGTCTGTTACTTCTCTCCGCGCATGGTGACCTCTTCCACACTTCTGAGTAGTTTCTTTTATTTACGAGTAGCGGTTGTACAAAGTTAAAGTTAGTTATGCCCTTAGCTGCTCCTCGAGAATAGACCATCGACTATTTTCCTTTTCCACTTCGTCCCTTCCGGGGCTAGCCTTTCGAGAGTGGCCGAGGTGTGGCTCTAACTTTTAATCTCAGCCTGAACATCTCGCCACCTGGTTATTTTTGGGAGTCCTGTTTTCCGTTTACCCTGGGAACACCCTTTTCAAGGCTTACTTGGTAACACTACCAAGATGTTTCTTCAAAGCGTGGCCAATCCATCTCTACTTTCTCCGACTGATTGGAATTTGAATAGGTACCTGACCAGATCTTTCCATAGATGCTCGTTTGTTACTCTCTCTGTCACATGTTATATACTAAGTTAGTCAACAAATCGACCGTAGTTTGGCGTGGTTTGCACTCTTATCGACAACGATATTCGTCATCACAGTGGTCAAATGAAGCGATTTTCTCAGTGCGTTGCCATTGCGTAACAAGTTGAAGCGAGCGGCAATGTTTGTACGATAACGGCAAATTGGCCAATCAGAAATTACTGCCAATTGTGGTAAAATCTAATATTGTTGGGTTTTGCTGTCAGTTTTGGTCAAAGTTACACGCGCGAATCATGCGCTTCCCATCTCGCTATCGAAAGATGCCTCCACTTCTCAAAGAGTTTCCGCGGTTTTTCAAGTTCTATTCTTCATAATAACACTATTATTGTGGTCTTCATTGCCTCTGCTAACTTACCTTATGTTTTTTTCCTTCTTTGTTACTTTTTTCCGTTTTCCAAAGAACATTGTGTTATCTGGTGGTTCAACCATGTTCCGTGACTTTGGCCGCCGCCTTCAACGTGACATCAAGCGTGCAGTAGACGCTCGACTAAAACTTAGTGAGCAACTAAGTGGAGGACGCATTAAGGTAGTTACATGTGGTACTTGTTTTTGTTTTTTTTGTTTTTTTCTCTTTCAAGCTAAACATGCGTGTCTTTCAGTGATTTTATTTCGTTCCATTCCCCCTTGCGTCATGTCCTTATGAGCGCTCTTAAATGCCTATATGAATTTTTTTCCAGCCGAAACCAATTGACACTCAAGTTATAACCCATCACATGCAACGCTATGCTGTGTGGTTTGGAGGAAGTATGCTGGCTTCTACGGTACGTGAATCATACTCCAAAGCTAAGAATTGAGTCTAAACAATTTGATGTAGAACAACCTGGCTAAAATATGTATACTTCACCACCTGAAAGAACTGCTTTGCAGCCTTCATTTGAGTGGCACAACTAGAACTTTTATCCTCAGGTTTTAAGAGGCTACTTCACAACCCGCGCATGCGTACGAAGAACCGAGAAAATGGTGACGCATTTGCCGTCGAGTTTCTTACAGTCCAGATGATGAGTCGATCAGTAAAAAGCTTCAAAATCTCTCCCAACTCAAACTCAGTTGTAAACATCTAAGTTTTTTATGTTTTTACTTTACTCTTCATTACAGCCGGAATTCTACACAGTATGCCACACCAAGGCGGACTACGATGAGCACGGACCTAGCATTTGTCGTCACAATCCCGTGTTTGGCGCCATGTCTTGAGAACAAAGTTCCATTCTTTAGGTCACTTTTAGGTTCCGTCGAAATTCACTTTGATCTTTGCAAGATAATTGTTAAATAGAAACTTTTTACCAGTCTTATGCTGAGAGTAATCGTTATTCTTTGGTTAGCGGCAGGTTCTTGACCACCAGTCGCTGAATTCGGGTACTGTAGACTCTTGGTTAAAGGTTGAGCTTTGACTGAAAGAGTCAGCAGTTTTCATTGTAACTTCAGAAATTAAGCATACCTCTAAAGATTGTAGCAGATAATTATATTGTTTTTTGTATGTTTGTTTGTTTGTTTGTTTTTCATGAGTGACACGAAGCTCATTTTCTTCAAAATATTGCGCATTTCTGAATTTTGATGCTATTACCATTTCTGATGGCATGGCATTGGCAACATTTCTGTTCCAGGTGTCAATCAGAAAATGAATTTTGAAGTAAGGGTTTCACTACTTAAGGAATTGTGTATTTGAAATTCTTTGTAAAGTTACGTGCGTTGATTTTGTTCGGAGAAGAAAAACTCGGATAGCCGATGATTTCGGCGTAGCAAAAGAGCAAGCCTAACATAACTTGTGTTTTAAAATTGCCATAGAAGTAGGAGACCACTTTTTCGAGCATCCAAAGAAAGTGAAATGTTATTAAATGCTGACCTCCATTTAGACGAACCCCATTGCAGTACAAAAGAAGTCGTTCTTAAAAAGACTTCGGTTTTGATTTCATGTGACTTTTTTCCGTTCATGCTATCAAGGGAACTTTGTTTCCAATTCAGCCGTTTTATCTGTTGTAGCACTTTAGCGCGAACGAGCCTGACTTTTTGGCCAACCAAATGTGATTTAGAGAATGAGTGGCTCACTTTCTGAGCCAGTGTTGTATCATTTGGTCAACCTTTATATTTCCACGCTTTGTATGTTAAACAGATTTTCTTGGATTATGTATCGCCACAGCGAACGGTGTATTGAAACATATTTTGAAAAATAAAATTCCTTTGTTAAAGAATCAAATTCTATCCTGGCGTCTTGTGTATCTCGAACACTCGAATATTCTACAGGGTAAGAAGTATGATTGCACGTGCTCAAAAATATATCGGAGAAGAGGCTAAAACTTTTTCTGCATTTATTTGGGTGTTATCTTCTACGTATTCCTTCTTATTAATCTAAAATAGATAAACATTGAATGCTTTTCGATTGAGTGTTGTAAAAACCAAAACCAAAGTATTCACGACGGCCAATCAGAGGAGACGAAAATACTTTTAAAGAGCCAATAAGAACTCAAAGTAAAACCAAATTAACTGCCTAAAGCGCGGAAAACGCGGGTGACCAAGTCGTGATGGCTTTTTTAGTTTTGCTTCTGATTGGTGCGAGAGAGTGTGCGAGTTTTGTGGACCAATCACGAAGCGAAGAAAAGCAAAACCAATGCAATCCTTTTGACACCCGGTTGAAAACTGCTGTGTAATTTTCCAAAACCAACTGAGGCCAGACCTTCCCTCCGAAAAGAAAAGAAGCTGCTTTCTTACCGATTTCGGTGAACAGAAAAGAAAATATAAGCCTATATAAAAAAATTCAAGCTTTGATAACCTTTGTAAGTACCATTTCAAGATCCATTGTTTTAACCCATGATTTGATAACGGCTGATTTCGAAAAATCGGCTCGAATGAAAAACAACCGAGGATTTGAATGTCATCTTTCATCTAAATATTATTTTTGTCTTGGAAATATCTCAACAGAAATATACTGTTATGATCAGGCTTTTGATACTAAAATATCTAACTCTTACCAAACAACTGGATTTTGGAAAAAAATAGTTATTCACTTAAACGTATAGAGGGTTACTTTTCTGTGCTATTTTTTGGATAACTGCTTTGTGAAACGGCAAACGTGCCATTATAGATTTGCGCCAAAGCAAAGAGTAATTTTAAAGTTGTACGAATTACCTTTGTGTTTTTTGTTATTCGTAATGTCTTAAATTTAGCAAAAGGTTGTTTAGCTTTCATTAATAAGCTTTTTGCCAGCGTAAATTATCGGATTACTCCAAAACAGAGAAAAGCATGATATCAAATACTCAAGGAGATTTGGAGGTCTACAGAGTTACAAACACATTTCGAGGCAAAAAGTTTTCCCTCACGATCGTTCATTAATACATTTGGAGGTTTTGTGCGCTTTGTACGGTAATTAAGTAACATCTGAATATTACTTTGATCACTAATTAGAGAGAGTGAAAAGCTCATTGCTTTATTTAAAGCGGAGGGTGTTTTTTGTGATGCAAAATTTGCCTTGACACCGCTTGACCTTGCATTGATTAGACGTCATCTCAGTTTCGGGCGTGCAAACTTCGGTTTGTTTACCATATTTACTGAGTCGAGTTCAATGGCACTTCTACAATAGATCGACCGATCTTTAAGCTTTTTAAAAGACTTATTGAGCCAATTTGGAACCAGTGTTTACTGAAGTTTAATGAGTTGAAGGATCATTAGCATTGGCAAATCCCGATCAATGATTGGGCCAAATTTCGTGACGCATTTAATTCTACTGTTAACATTCACGGGTCAAAATTGCTGCTTTGTGCGAAAGAGTCGTTTTAATGTGTTACTTATCGTTGAATTTTCTCGATCGTTTAGCTTTGTTGACCCCAATAGAAAGCCATTCTTGGGTTTTCAACCCGTCGAAAGCATTTAAAATCGATTTGGCCTTCGCGCGTATAGCATTAACACTTTTTATGATGCGCCGGTATGCGCTGAACCGCTCAGCGAGGACATCACTACATGGAAATGGTTTGTGTACATAACTAGGCCGAAAGGATTTTAACAAACTGTGGACATGATTGATGGAAAGATTCACGGCACGGATTGCTTCGAAGTGGAACTGGTAAGTGCTGAAAAGTTTTGCAAACTTTTCTATAAATAGTTCACAAAATTACCGACGGGTCAGTGAGGCGCGAAGTCCTTGCTATTCCAAATGCGAATGAGACAAACTTGTCACTTGCTCGTTTGCTTATTTGCTCGTTAGAGCCCACTGCAGCTTTGGTGACAATTCTTTCACTTTTTTCACAGTTTCTTCAGAGAAATGAGTTTTCAAAGCTCTACCAGGTTAAAAACAACGAAGATGGAAGGAAGTACTCAATGGAGGTGTCACCGCGGGATGCAAATTCTAGAGCGCCCGTCAGCCCCTATGTTCAGTTAACCAAAACAACGCTCTCTTCATTTTGGGTTAGTCTACGGTTTACGTTTCAAACTCGGTCGAAATTTTATTTTATTCTCGACTTCGCCGGTGGCCAAACGCTATCGCAAAAGTTGAATATTTGTGGTGGAAAATTTTCTGAGCCTTTAGCGAGATTTTATGCTGCGGAGATTGTGGTCGCCTTGGAGGAATTACACAGCTTCCGCCTGGCTTATAAAGATTTAGATTTAGATGTGGTGTACGTGGATTCTGAGGGTCATATAAAGCTTTGGCGCAGTTTTTGTGGAAAGCTTTACTGGGGACAAAGCGAATGCGTTTGTTCGCTTGCTGGGTTTTGCCATGGAGATCCATGCAATAACAATCATAATCTTACCAGCGAGTTTGATTTTCAAGAAGATTGGAAGGCTCTTGGAAGAGTGATAAATACAATGTTAACGGGAGATAACAATTATCGGACTTCCGAAAACCGGTAAGTATAGATAATATATATACGTATCTCTTTCTCTTGGCATGTCCTGTCATTCGTGTGGTTATGTTGTTAACACCTAATTCACTGGTCACTATTAACACTCTTACATGTCTCTCGGGAACACTCTTAAGGGTTAGCAAAATATCGTTTCTAAATCCCTCTCTTCCGTAAGCAAGATCAGTTCTTTTTTTTCCCGCAAGATTTAAAATACCGGTTCCATTTTGCTTCACTCTGTGAATAACTTTCGATTCGCTCGAAGACGTGAAAGTTTTCGAATTGACATTTTGACAGTATGGACAAAAGTGACGATTAGCATTTTAAGCGCGCTGATTTCTCATGCTTTTAATCACTTTTACCGTCTATAAATCGTCCTATATTAGACCATTTTTTTTCAATATCTAACCTACTTCCGGTAGCTATCTTCTCCTCTTCTATACATGTTACAACGGAATGAAAATTATAAACGAAAATTGTAAGTGAAGTAATCTTTTGTTTACGAATTGTCTCTTAAGATATTATGCTTACATCGGGACAAATGTAAAACAGTCTAAAGAATTTGATTGTCTTGTTCATCACTAAGGTACTTTGGTGGCTGGTTTTCGGATTTTGCAGAAATCTGGTGGGATGCTGTCGTAAAATTTTCGGCTAACAACATATTGGTAAGAGAGGCTAAATACGAACCGCAAAACCTCGATCGCTCAGATTATAATTTTAGGCGAATGTTGTTGGTTTTCGGTCGTTAAATGGGTTACTTAGTGGAGACTTTGCGTGTTTGTTGGACAACTCATTGTTTTAAAACATTTTGATCAACAAGTGGAAACATTTACAAAAGTTCTATTTGAAATCTGAGTTATTTCAGTTGGTAAATGCTCATTCGGAAAAAAGAAGGATTTATAAAGAAACGAAATAAATGTAAACGTTCTTCGTTTATCTTCCGCTATAAATGTTCACCGGAATTACACGCGAATACGGTTAGAGTTTTCTTACAATATTTACCTCGTCCATAATTTCTATTTTACCAGTGTCTGCTCTAAGAGCTTCTTTCAAGTAAGTAAAAACTTCACACCCACTATAAAGAGAAGAGAAAGGAGAATCTTGCCGAGAGTGGCAGTGCAAGGTTATCGAATTTGAGTCTCTGAATATCAGTGGCACAAGACCGGCTTAAATGGGAGATCATTATATTCTAAGTGATGTTCCAATGAAAAATTATTCATTGCTCTCCGATTAGGATCTGACCATAAAAAGGGCGAACAAGTTTTAAATACGAGCGTAATATTCTTTTGTTGTCAAAGGCTTTACGGTTTTTAGGAGTAAGTCATGTTGACAACTTTTCTTTGTGAAAGCGATCAACGTCAATTTTTTGTTTGAATAACTATTTGGGCCCTCTGATCCTGTGTCACGTTCTGACCGTTAAGACTCCGTAAAATTCGATCAATCACGGATTTTTCTCTCCGTATACAGGAAACTGTGGAGGACAACTATAGTTAGGTTCAATTTCTTGGAGAACAATGTGTTTAAATTGGCGTGGTTGTACGTGACGTCGAATTTTAAAAAAGCTGACAATGGTTTTTTCGTCATCGAATGCTGAGTTACGTGAAGTGTCTTGAACAATACGAAAGCTTTTTTGATATTGTTTGTCAGATTTGTTGTACAGATTTGACGTAAATTCGTGCGTGCTGTAAGTTTTCGAGTGGAAAACACGAATTCATTATGTTCGGTGTACAGTAATGTTAATATTTAAACAATAGGTTTCTTGCGTAAGCGAAAAGACCCTATTTGAGTTTCATCTAAAATCTCATCGGAGATCTACCTAGTTTTCTTTTTATTCCTACCACGCCTAAACGGCGTTTATAAATTTTTTTCGAGAATTTTTTTGTAGATCATGAGAACCTATGCCGTGATGCTCGAGCGCGTGTGTCTGTGCCGCGCGAACTCGCTGATTTCTTTTTGACTTGCGCAACAGATTACGCCACGAAAGAGTTGTTGTCTTAATCTTGTCTTCGATTATCTGGGAGCGTTCGTATGTGGTTACAAAGCATCACCAAAATGTCAATTCAGTAAAACTAACTTTCACTTCAAAAACCCTCAAAGTGTACTGAGCTCGCCCATAGAATGCTGACAGTCGCACGCACAATAATTGCATCCGTCACTTGTCGCCGAGTTTGCAAATTTTTTAAGAGGCCTAGTGCGTGTGCTAATCGCGTGTGTCTCGTCAGTTTTCGACATAGAGAGTAGAAGTAGATCGCGCTAAGAGAGTGGACCCCAAATAGGTTTCATTTTTTAGGTAATCCCTCTCAAGTCATTGCTATTTCACCCTAGTTTAAGGAGATTCCTAAGGATTTAAAGATAACAAGGACTTTGTCATGAGTTTTTCTTACGTGGATATCTTAATCGTAGCAGTGCAAGACAGGCGTCGTTTATTTTACATTTGTTTAGCTAGCGGAGGAAAGTACGATACGAACGTGAGCAAAGCGCAAGGAGTCAGTAACGCACGAGGGGAAGAACGCGGAAAAAAAATGACACAAGTGTTATGTTATTCATGCTACTCTTCTTGTGTTTGTCCCGTCTCTCGCGCTTTTCTCGCGCTCCTCTCGAGTTTGCCTCACTCTTTCCCCGCACTCGCCTCGCGCTGTAACCGTTTGAAAAATATAGAGTGATTGACACTTGTTCCCCGGGCAACCCATGGCATTTCTATTCTCTTTCTAACAAAACATTAAATCAAAACCCGAAGTTGACGAGTGAAGTACATTTCACGTTAATTTTCACACTATATCTTTGAAACCAGACAACCTTCTCTGTTATTTTGTGCTAACACTTTTACAACTTTCTGCTCTCCAGTGCCCTCTCGGTCGCTGCCAGTGATTTAATCGTTAGACTGACGCGAGGTGATATCTCTCGAGCTGACCAGATTCAGTCCCACCCGTTTTTCAAAGGAGTCAATTGGCACGAGGTATGGTATAACTATACATACAGAACATCCCGGTTTTATGACAGTTTGTGCTTGAGAAAGGAGCAAATAAGATGTTCAAATGCAGATTTTCTTTCGGTTTTTAGCTGATTTGAACTTTCATAACAAAGAGCGCATTTGCTCTATTTGAAGAATTTTGAATTTCATTTTCAGTTGGGTGAATGAACTAGAGGCGAATGAAAACGTGTTTGAAATTGAGCTGTAAGCGATTGGGTCTTCGTAAAGTTCTTTGAGATTTCCGAAATGAAGAGTAAATTTTTGGAGTAGGTCCTATTTGCAGCACTCGGTGTTACGGCTTAGTTCTCTTTAGCTAGAGCCAATGAAGACGAACCCTCCATTTAGTTCAATGCAAAATTAAGCACAGTATGAGGCAAATAAAACGCTGCTAACAAAACACATCGTAAAATTTACATATTATGATTGCCCCGCTGATACGAACGTCTTTGTGTCGAAGCCATTCCAAGGTCAGTAAAATTACAGCCGAGTCAGCTGGAGGGAGCGTTTGAAACTTTCAAATTAAAAGATTTATCATTGCTAATTTGACCAACTTTCAACTTCTCCGGAGGTAATTCGAAGTACAGTGCCTCTCGCTTTTTGTTATCAATGAATACCAAAGGGCTTTTTATATTTCTTAATGTTTTAAGAATTGCCTCATTACCTCTGCAGATGTTCTATTCGAACCAACCAAAATGCAATCTCTCAGAAGTTTTATGTACTAGCCACAGGTGGTATTGGACTCCAAGCAAACATCTTAATCTAAAATATTGGAACTGAATTTCACAAAATATAAACAGTACATTCACTGAGCAATTTCAGCTTAAACCGTAAAAAAAAAATGTTTCCTTGGTATCCTCGCTCTCGGCATTTGAAGGGATAGCTTAGCGAAACGTAACGAGATATCCAAAGATATCACGGCTTTGGAAAATTGAAATTCATCGGAGGATTTCTGCTATCGACCATGAACGGATCAGAGCTCACAGGAGGGTGGCAATGAAAAACCACGATATCTAGAGGCAAAAGGCTCCCTAGGACGTTTTGCACATCGAAGCTTGAAATTAGCGTCCTAGGTGAAGAGAAAGTTTAACTGTGATGTTCTACTTTGAAGCAAAAATCTCTTAAGTTGGCTTAAATGAATTAGCTAAAAAATTATTGAGAGGGTATAAGTATGGCCAAAAATTTTGGGAAAGATACGACATGTATAGTACTGTACTGCTTTTCCTTTGGTCGTCTGAATGAATGTTTAGTTCCTCGGTTTTCAGAAATTGTTTAATTCGAATGCAGAGATTTAAAGATCCGAAACTATGGCAGTATGTTTTCTTCAGTTGATTATCTCAAATTACTTTCAGGCAAGAATGAGGAAAGCTCGACCACCCATGACCACGGACAAGGGATCCAACTCCTTTCCAGTTCAAACAAATTCTTCCGCTGGCTATTCACCAACTGAGACTAATATGACTAATTCATCTTCTTCATTCTATCGGCCCTACAGTTTTTCGCATCATAGTGACCCGGGCGATACTAGCCACCTCAAGAACGCCCCTGACTCTTTGGTGCCTGAGCCCAGTCTCCGCAGTGGTTTTTCAACCCCTGATCTTCGATCGATCAGTCAAGAAAACCCGTTCTTGCGACATCATACGTCATTACCGCCAAGAGACATGTACTATCACTATGGAAACCCTAGTTATCCAAGCACAACACCACGTGATTTTTATACAAGCCCCGTGCAAAGGAGGTTAGCTTCGCGCTCTTTGAGTGATCTTTCTGCTTTAAACGGAAATGACGATGTATTTACTCCAAACTCCCCGACGGCCCTTGATAGGACGTTCGTCTATCCAAATTATGAACCTGCCCCGCAATATGCAAGAACACTTAATGCACGGCCTGGAAACCATTCAGGAGTTTTCAGTGGCGATTATGCTTTGCGTTCGACAGGTAGTTTTCCTGATTTAAGGGGTAACATCGGTCCTTTCACCTCATACCAATACACATCCCACAATGAAAGATCCTCACCCACCCCCTCTATGTACAGTGATTACAGTTCATGCACGGAGTCTCCCCTCCGTGGTACATTTATTCTACCGCATCAAACCGTGCGTTCCCCTTACAGCATCATTGGTGTGTCGTCGGTGGATAACAGTAGCGCGATGGGCCTACGAAGATGGGAACGCAGTTCGAGTCGAGAATCGGAAAATCATCGTGGAATTTCGGAACCCGAAAACAGCCTTCATGGTAATCCAAATTCACTTCATTCTGAGCGGAGTGTAATCGATGATTCGTCGTCTCCGGTAAAAAATCCTACAAACAATTCGTGTACTCAACAAAGTCCGACACAAAGTTCGGATTTCACGAAGAACAACGACTCTGATCGAACGTCTACGAATACCACCCGTGAACGCTCGTCGACGTTGAGTCGTACTCTTTCGTTATCTGATATAGACGAAGGTACCAAACATACGACTCCGAAAGTAGCTCGGGAAATTAGGCGAGATAGTTTGCCAATAGCTGTCAGTAATGCAAGAGAAAAGTACCCTCTGGCGAGAGTTCCTATACCATCATTTAGGGAATTTAAACAGAGGAATTTGCTTGAAGAGGCTAAAAATAAACCATTGATTGAAAAGAAAGATGTAAACGAAAAGGAATCACAGGGATTATCGAGGGCAGATCCTAAAACCGAATCTAAAAACAAGATGGAGATGCGGGGAAAATTGAAGGAAAGGCTGTCTTCATTGTACGAAAGCTCAAAAGACATCTCGGCTCAGAATTCGACAAGAAAGCTTAGTACCTCCTACAAGTTGAATTCTTCGAGAAATGTAACACAAGAAAAACCTGTTTTCAAATCGAGTGTATTAACAGAAACGAAAGGCAGTAATACAAAGGATGTTAAAGAATTGGGCAGCTCACGAAAGATTTCAAAGGGCCGTCGCGAAAGCCCGTTTTCAAAGAACGAAGTTATTCATAACCTAATGTTGAAGTACGGCTTATACGAGAAAGGCGGACACAAGAGAGCAAGTAGTTCGAGAGCGGACGCAAAGGATATTGTGTCATGGACGGATGAAGTCAATTCTCGCGAGAAGGAAAGAAACAATAAAAATTTGAAACATATTTCATTGGCTACAAATCCTGAAAATTTTTCGGTAGGGGAAGAAAGAAGAACGCGGAATTCTTCGCATTTGTATGAGTCTACTCCTAAAGGGAGCTCCGTTTCTGATCGAAAAGCTCCCACAGCTGCAACATTTGAATCGAAAAAGTCCGCCGCGGAGCGGTTCAGAGAGTTGCGAAGAAAGCATGGTATGCAAAATGATTCTGAAGATTCTCGAACGGCAGAAAGAGTGGCATTAACAGGCAGAGGAAAGACATCGGAGATGAATACAACACAAACTGCGTCAATAACCGAAAATGGAAAAGAGATTCTGAAGCGAGAAATGAATGATTCTGGGTTTTTAGATCAAAAGAACTCAAGTGAAATTCGAGGAAGTGATCACAATTCTACGGGAGCAGGCCCAAGAATGGCAAATTCAAATGTTGTAGAAGGCAGTTTGACAGTATATGAGAAGACTGAGAGGCGAAATGTCGACTCGACTGAGACATCCAGTCAAAGGAAAAGCTCTATTGGTCTCCGAGGTACCTCCAGAGCAGTTCTTTGTGCGACAAAATTTAAGAGAGTTGCTAACAAAGGCTTGAAAACATCGAAAGATTCGCCCTTGCCGGATAAGAAAAAGCTGGGAGACATTATCACCACAAGTGACTCAGCAACCAAAGTTATGGCCGATAAAATGCAAAACGGAAACGCTATGGAAAGTAAGCGAGGTGAATCATTGGGGAAACGATCACCGAATACCCGACAGCGAGATTTCCGAGCGAACGGAAAACTTCGGAAAGGTGGTATTCACACGAGCATGCTCAGTGTGGCAAGCAACGCGTGCTTGACCGATTCTGAGGTTGATGACACAGTTAGCTTGTACAGTGAAATGGACTCGCTTGACAGCGGGCGAGAAACGAGAGGACGTAGGTGGGAGAGTTTCCATAGTAACATCAGTGCTGACAGCGGCTCCCCCCACATGTTCGAATTTGAGACGGACTCCAATGCAACTGAGTTTGAGGAGGAGATTTTTGATGACCATGGCTCTGAAGGTGAGCCGTTGAGTAAACATCATGAAATGTCCATTTGGTTGTATTGATGTATTATCGATTCATTACAACTGTATTCGCCACGTCGGATAACCGCCGCCTTCTTCAAACAATATCAATTTTTTTAAAAGTGTGGTAGAGACCATGTCCTTCTTAGGAAATTAAATTTAGTTTCTCAAGTCTTGACCTTTTATCTTTTCAGATGAGCATCCCAAGAGCGAGGCCGAAGTGGAGCGCACTGACAGTGGTGTCGGAGGTGACATGGGACAAAGTCCTTTGAGGCGCTCTTGGGAGGAAATTGTAATGAAGAGTTCGGAGCATTGGTCCGTTGTGGCGGCCTCCGCTCGTCACTGGCAAGAATTGGCCCGCAGGAGAAAAGCAAATGAGGACGAAACGACCTCTGCAAGGAAACGAAGTTCTGTGCATTCTATAACTGAAGACATGGTATTAATCCTTTTAACTAGGAATAGATTAACCCTCTCATTTTCACTAGAGACCAATGGTTCATATCAACTAATTTTCAATCATAAAAGCGAGGAGAAAAAGGAACATTTGTATTATCCTTTCGTTGTTTTCAACGTTTCTAGGTCGAATGCCCAGATTGTTTGAAGCACTATGTTCCATCAATAAATAGCGAAGAACAAAAAGACAGAAGTAAAGAACCGGAGATTTGTCCCAAGTGCATAGACAGAAAAGTGGAGAGGAAGGAGGCCATTATTGAACTGGTACAAACCGAAATCAACTATGGAAATGATCTTCAGATCCTGAAGGAGGTAAGTGACTATGCATACAATTAGCTGGTCGCAGTGCGCCTGGTGTTACAGGATATGAAATCAGTTTGCCAGCTAATAATGGGAAAAAAAATGCGTCTGTTGTTTTGGTTAGTATTAGTTAAGGCCACGATAAATTTATAAGAACTCAGAATATTTACGCATGAAAGCACTTGGCGCGAAGCGCGTAAAAACAGCCTTAATAGATTTAGGATTTGCTTTAAGTTCGGATGTAATTGGCTGGGAAGTAGTGGGAATTACATGACAAACTCAGTAGGGCAGAGTCATTCGGATTGCAGGCTCACGAAATTCAGCTTAATGCTGTTACAGATGCAAATCTCTTTTCCAAAGAGGTTTCCGTTGAGCCGACGGGTTTTAATCGTAAACCCACTTAAGTGGTCATCCTTGGCTGAGTCGATTTCAAACTCGTTTTCGTTAAACAAATTCGTAGACTACACATGGGCCAAGTTTAGAAAGATTCGCGGCCAGAGCATAGGTTACAAAAAGTGGTGGCATCTGTCCTATTGCTTCTCTCTTTGAAAATCCAAGCTAAGTAAGAAAAATAAACGTGAAGGATGAATTTGCTGTTAATCACCACCATATTTCTCATGGCTCAAACCCTTTTTCTTGCTCTCTCCTTTCACAAATTTTTACAACACCTATTGAGACTACATTCTCTCACTCCTATGAATTCGAACTAATTTATCAAACAAAAGTCCAAAAAATGCGACGCTGCTGAGTTTATTAGTCAATAACCAAAGCAGTTCTAGTCAAATCGTAGCATCTTAGAAGTGTTTATTCCAATTTTTTTTTGCTCCAGTTCTGCCAGAAAAGAGGGCACTAAGTTAGTTGCAATTTAGTCAAAAAATAGCCAGAAAAGCTAAATTTAAAAAAACCATCACTTCACGCAACCTCTTACTAACAAATCAAGTCCGGTTTAAATGTTTTTATTTAATCATTAGCCACTGCTCATAAATTCGGATGAATGTCTATTTCCTACAATAAGAGTTGAAAAAAAATCAAAGTAGCCTACGGGGTTCCATTGGACTGAAACCTTAGTTCGCCTGGATTTTAGTCAACTCATATTTTAATGGCTTCGACTGCAAGGTCGATATGCTCCACCGTATTGAAGATATGAGGGTAGAATCGCATTCGATTTTCCATCTTGGTCGACACGCCGATTTTGTGATCTTGATATAACTTGTCTTTCAAAATCTCGTCCAAGTTTGGTCTTCTACGAACTTGGTGGACAGGATACCGTGGAACTTGATCAACTCCTGCCGAGTTTCTATCACGAACACATTGCCGACTTGGGGCACCAGCTCTTCAAAGTGGTCCCTCCGTCGCATGATCAACGCCTTGGTTCTCCCCTCGATTTTTTACGAAGCCAATCACGGCCATTAGATCTGCGGTATACAGGAGCCCGAAAAGGTTGGTATCGTTCTGTTGGTCAATCATCTTAAACCTGGACATATCATCTGGCAATGAGTCATCCGGGAGGGTAGTTGGAGGCTACATCTCGCCTTCGTACTCAATATTTAGGGCCAGAAATCGGGTACACTTTCTGTATGTATGTACAAGATACCCGTCTCTTTGGGACCAAGGAACCACTTGTGACTCCCTTCACTGTAGCTGTCATTGTTGACAATGTGAATTGGCCATCGCAAAGAGATTGTGGCACCCGCACAGACGTTTTAATCGCGGAGAGTGTAAGTGTCAACTTGGTCTATCATGAGCGTTTGTGGCTTTAGCGGCCGAATCAGTAGACCGGGTCGGAAATGGATCTAAAGTTTCTTTGTTTTCTTTTCCTGTGTTTTTTTTTTTTCTATTTTTTTATAAATGAGTATTGTTCATTGTATTCAAGCACTAAGTATAGGAATTGTACGCATCTTTGTGAAAATGCTGTTCCAAACACTCACAGAGTGGTGCACTTTCTGTGAAAGGTACCTCAGTTTAGAGAAGATTCTCAGTTGAAAAAATTGCTAAGCATCCATATGAAAAATTTACGTGAGCACTTTCCATTCGACCATAACGAACGGAACGATATTTTCGAACCGATCGCACTAATCTGGTTGCATGCTGTTCTTCATTAACAAAAGAAGATTGAGGTCCTCCCTATTTTAAAGCGTTACCTTAGAACTGACTTCAGAAAGTTATGTTGACGTTGCTTGTGCGTCTTCCACAGCACCTTTAAAACGGCGAAACAGCATGTTTATGTGATATTCAGATCGCACATGTATTGCGACCTTTTTTCATGTGCACACGTAGGGGTCAAATCACTCAGCTTTGTTTTGACTTATTGATGGGAGGAGCGAAATTTTCTGAGCTTTTGTTTCTCTTCTCAATCCCACTTTGAAAACCATTAAGACTCCCCTCCCCGCTGTGAAATATGGAGATGATATATGGAAATTATCTTATACAGAAAGGAACAACAACGCATTGTTACTGAGTTTATTGATCAACACTTGTTGTAGTACAAGTCAAATCGTAATTTTACTAAAGTATTTATGTGGAAAGGACGTTCAGTTCACAACTGATGAGTACTACTGAAAACGAATTCGGAGTTCGTGCACGTTTACTTTCATTAACACGTTAGGTCCGGTTTAAAAAAAAATACTGTTATTACTAGCTTTAGTTCGTAAATTGGATCATCTCTCCTTGAAAGTGATGATAAAAACCATCAAAGTAGCTGCTGAAGTACTTTTAAACTAAGCCTTACTTCTCTAGGACTTTACTCAGCTCATACCGAACAGCTTCAACTGCCCGATCGATGTGCTCCTCCGTGTTGTAAATATGCGGGGAGAACCTCATTCGATTTCCTTTCTTGGTTGACACCCCGATGTTGTGATCTTCATACAACGCGTCGTACAACATTACGCTCAATTGTGGCTCTGCTTCTTCTTCATTCTTTCCTTTATGTTTGCGCCTGTGTCCTTTTCCAGTTCCGCGATCGTCTTGAAACTTGATGGTCAGGATACCGTGGTACTGGCTCAATTCGGGCGGAGTTTCTATCACGAACACATTGTCGAGTTCGCGCGCCACCTTGTCCAAGCCGTCCCTCAGCCGCGTGGTCAACGCCTTGATTCTCTCCTCGATTCTG